GGATAAATAAAGAGAATTTGTATTTACGAACTCATATATTACCCAAATTCTTAACATTGGCTTGGTGTGGGGCTCATCACACAAGTAGTTAACAAACATGAAGTATTATCACTCATTTCACAGAAACAATAATTGAAGGTTCTAAACCAAACTCATAGTCATATATACACATAATATTTATATATAAACAATGGCATATGATTTAAAAACAAAATGCCCAAAAAAAAATAAACCAATCGTACCGTTCACTAGAGATTACAATATAATAGCAAGTCGTGCTTATAACGTGTTGTAATTTGACATTTTGTTAGCCCAGTCTACTGAGATTGTTGTACGGTAACATGTTGATTGTACGTATGAACAAGATTGCAAAATGAAATAGAAGAGTAGAGAGAAAAGTAGAACACAAGATGTAAGAACTTCCAAGCCCCATTCTTATTAATCTATCAAGATGTATATATATACAGTGATATAACTCTTCATTTTCTCAACATAATGAAGGAGTTAGAGAAGGGCAAATGAAAAATCTAAATATAATGGCCATCAATATATATATATATATATATATATATATATATATATATATATATATATATATATAGGGTCAGGTTCCTGTGAGGTCAGGTCTTCCCGTGCGGTCAGTACGACATACACCATTAGGTATGCATAAATGCACCACACAGTGTTCGTAAATACACCATTATGTGTGTTGTATTTTTTGGCATTTCATTCTGGTGTATTTTCGAACACTTTATGATGCATTTATGCATACCTAATGGTGTATGCTGCACTGACCACACGGGAAGACCTGACCTCACATGAACCAAAATCTATATACATATTGCAATATTTTAATATTATAGTTGTTATTAAATTTATTATTTTCTTTACTTTCTAAAACAATTTTACTAGACTACTAATGAAATTCATCATGTTTTAATTTTAAGTATTTTTAATTGCAGACTGTTGTGTAATTTTTTTATTTTCTTTTTACCTTTCAAACATATTTATTTTACAATTAAAAACTTAACTAAATCAGTTATAGGAAAAAACACATTTTTAAATCAGGTAATTTAAAACAACTTTAAAATACAGTTTGATTCCAATTTTCTTTTCACATCTTAATTCTTTTTAAAATTATTTCTCTTTTTTCACATATTAATAATAACTAGTATTTGCGCCCGTGCGATGCACGGAATGGATTTGTTGTAATATATTAAGAATATTTTGATTGATATATAATTATTTAAATTAGAATATCAAATATTATATAGTGCAATTGAAAATATGGTTTGGATCGTTTATATGTTTTGATGTTATCATTGCTTGAATTTGAGCAAATAATTGCTCAAATTAATAGCTAATATGCAAATGTACGCATGCGATGCTGTAACTTTGAAGATTTTATTTATCATTGTTTAGTACTTTTATAAATTAGGCAAACGTGCTCATTCTTTAGCAACTCAGTTATAGGAATGAATTGCTATCCAAATTCATTCGTATGGAAATATATTTTTTGTCTAGATATATATCAATTTTGTCATTTAAAAAACATAATATCACCGATTGTATTTACACATTATTGAAACCTCATTGTATACGACATTAGTAGTAGCAACACAATCTTTTCAATCCTCGTCTATAGTTAACATCTTCAGTCCATTAGGATGGGTGACTCGGGTGAAAATATATAATTGTAGAATATCAGTCAATTAGTGATCCTTTTATATTTTCAGTCAATTAGTAATATCATATTCATTTTTAGCCAATTATTCTTTATTTTTTTTATTTTCTTTCAATTAGTCAATTAGAATATCATATATAATGATATTTTTACCTAATTTCCGTTCTATTTTTACTTGATGATCTAAAATATTATTATTGAAATATTTCCATTCCATTTTTAATTTACCTTTACTATTGTTTAAAATATGCATTTACTATTGATGATGTAGAATATTATTATTGAAATATTTCTGTCCAATTTTTCATTAAAATGCAATGATCTGACCATTTTTTGTTCACTTTAGTCAATTATTAATCATTTTTTATTTGTAGTCAATCCTTTTATATTTTTAGTCAATTAATAATATCATATTCATTTTCATCCTATTATTTTTTCTTTTTCGGTCAATGAGTTAATTAGAAATCAGATGCAGTGCTATTTTTACATAATTTTCATTCCAATTTTAACTGATGATGTAGAATATTATTATTGAAATATTTTCGTTTCATTTTTAATTTTTGTTCTATTTTTAATTTACCTTTACTATTGTTTAAAATATGTCTTTACTATTAATGATGTAGAATATTCTTATTAAATATTTTGTTTTTATTTTAAATTTACCTTTACTTGATGATGTAGAATATTATTATTGAAATATTTTTGTTCTTTTTTAAATTTCCGTTCCATTGTTTAAATTTGTCAAATATTTATGATATAACTGTGATTTGATTTATTCTACTGTGTAATATTATAGAGAAAAATTAAAAAGTAATGATTTGATCATCTCCTTTTCCATTTTAGTCAATTATGGGTCATTTTTGTTCAGCCAATTATTGATATTTATTTCTCTTTCCAATTAACCTAATTTTCATTCTTTTTTCAATTTCTAATTTTCAGTCAATTATTAATATTCATTTCCTTTTCTAATATACCTAATTTTCATTCCATTTTTATTTGATAATGTAGAATATTATTGTGAAATGTTTCTGTTCCTTTTTTATTTCCGTTTTTTAATTTACCTTTACTATTTAATATTATTTGGGATGAAAATCAGGTAAATAAGATTTTTTTAAATTATAGTATAGATTATAAATTAACAGGGCTGGTCACGGTTATGATTTTAATTATATAACGAATTAAAATTAGGGTTTTTATTATACTTGAACAATAATATTACCAATTATATTATAGAATATAATACCATACATAATATTACCAATTAATAGATTTTAGTTAACTTTCATTTTACATTTTCTTACCAAATAAACTCTATTAATTATTTGGCCAATAAAATATTTAATTAATTGACTATAAAAGTTTGGGCGAGAAAAATCAAATATGAGAATTTTTCTTTATATATATATATATATATATATATATATATATATATATATATATATATATATAAAAGTATATATGGAACTTTCTATAAAATAATTTCATTAATTATAATTTATATTGATAGATTTATAATTAAAAAATAACATTTAGAAATTTAGAAACAAAATAGTTTTTTAATTTTGTATAATTAATATAATGCATACGTATATGTATGTATGTATTTAAAAAATTATAAATATTTATTAAAACATATTTTGTTAATTTTATAATTTCATTTTCTTAATTGTATTTTATATTTTATTTATTACTCCGTATAATTTAATGAAATTGTCACAAATATTTTCACAGTAAAAATATTATATTTCTCAATTTCAGTAATTATATTAATTATAATTATCAAATATTGTGGCAATTATCATAATAATTTTATTAATTATAATATTTGTTCTCTTTTAATATTGAAATATATTACCATACAATTACCTTAATATTTAATAAAATTGCCTCAATTATAAAATATATTATCATAAAATTACCATAATAATTACACTGAAAAATGTGAAGACAATTACAATAAATAATTATTATGAAATAATATTAATAATTAATTATTAAGGCAAGTAGAATTTATTTTATAATAATAATATTATACATTAAATACTAAAAAAATGCTTTGAATTTCATTTTGGTTTTAGTGTATTCTTATCATGCTTCCCTCTATATCTCTTTACATATACACACAATCCGTCCCTCTCCACAAAAAATAAACAAACAAAAAAAAAAAAGAATATATCAACATTTTTATTACAAACCACTTTTCTTATTTAAATATTGGAAAATCCAAAACAAAACAAAACAAACACAAAATAAAACCCAAAAAGAAAAAAAAAAACTAAAATAATGAAAACTTCACCCGTGCAAATCACGTATCAGCCTCAATTGTGGAAGATCACAAGATGATTAACAAAAGTCAATGAAATGATGGAGAAGATACGGGGTGGAGAAGCCCTACTGATATGGAGAAGGAAATGATGGGGATGCTAGGGATTAAAAGAATTATAAATTTGTATTTATAGGTAGAAAATACTAATTCGAAAGGAAAGTATGATAATTTATTTATTTAAGGTAATAACATTATTATTATTATTATTATTAGATTACAGAAATGCCCCTAAATTTTGGGGGAAAATTTGGCTAGGAAGATTTTACTTTTATATATATATATATATATATATATATATATATATATATATATAGAGAGAGAGAGAGAGAGAGAGAGAGAGAGAGAGAGAGAGATAATTACATAAATCATATCACATATCGATTTTTCTAAAATAATTGCGAACAAATTAAATGAGTCATAAATTATTGATACTTTTGCAATTATCTTATAATCCAAAAAATTGTACATTTCCAACTATTATAATGATTTATAACTTGACACTTAATTTTATTATTTAAATATATATATATATATATATATATATATATATATATATATATATATATATATATATATATATATTAAAAAATAATATCTGTGCATCACACGGATAATTGAATTTACTACTAAACACAAATAATAACATATCATTATTACTACAAAATGATGAAATAGACAAATTCTTATATACATACTTCGGCAACAAAATGCATATAAAAGAAAAATTTCTAAAAAAAAAACAAAAAACAAAGAAGCAATGACATATGTATTTTTTTGGTGAGTTGCAATATTCTGTGTAGTGAATTGATGAGATATTGTCTTTAATTGTGAAGTGCCATCTTTTTACAAGTAAAGCATTAGCAGGCCAATTATTATGCATGTAGTGTGATAACACATTTGTTAGCATTCCAAATGAATGGTTACATGATTGAACTTTGGTGATGCCCAATTTTTCAACGTAGTGAAAAGAAGGGGAAAAAGAATTCATAGTTGACTGGAACTTCCCAAATCAAAGGTTTCACCAAATTATTAAAGCAATCTGAACTCCTAGAATTACTATAAGTGTTACAATAATTCTTTTATATATGTACACACATCAATATATACAAACTTTGGATGTTTTGCATGCATTGGGCTACAAGCGAGAGGGCGTAGAAACAGCAGATGAAGAAAAAGGCGACGAACTTAGTGACGAAAATGGCGATGATGATAACATGCAGGTGAGATTAAACTCTATCTGCAGCCTCTGATGCAGAGAGAAATACGAAACTGCTTCCTTCTTCTCCTCTTCTTCAAGCTCTTCCAGAGGTATGGCGGCTAGAAACCTCACAATGAACTCTCTGCAACATTCCTTCCCGCTACTTATTATCTTTTCGTCTTCGTCGCTGTTCTCTTTCTGGAGCATTAGCGACGAATCGTCGAATCTCAAGACGAACGCCTTTTCGCACCCCTCGAAGAGCCTCTCCCCCAACGTGTCGATGATGTAGTAAGCGTCGCGGTCGATTTTCAGGACGAAGAAGTGATCGTTCCAGCTGATAATGTACACTCTGGGGAGATCGTTAATGGCGACGATTTTTTGCCATATTTCGTCGAACGACATCGCCCCCGACAACGACGCGAACTTCTCGGGATTGAAGAAGCCGACGAAGGAGCTGTCGCGCGAAATGGCGACGCGGCGGACGCCGGCGCGGAGGACGGTTTCGAGGTCGAAGTGTTTGTCGGGGAAATCGTTGAGGTAGGAAGCGTTGTCGCAGAGATTTCGCCACTCCGAGGAGCCTTGTACGATGAGGTCGTCGAATTCCGGCCTCGTCGGAGTGGCGTCAGCGTTGGAGTGGAGCCAGTCGGAGATGACGGCCACCAGCGCCGTGCAGGCGCTCTCTCCGGCCGCCTTGTCGGAGCGCTGGTCGAAGGTGGCGAAGAACACGTCGGATTTCAGCTTCGTTTCGCCGTCTCGGCTAATCAGCTCCTTCGATTCCCATGCGCCAATGCTTTCTTCATCGGACGGCTCAGAATATTCTCCTATTTTATCCTGTAAAGAAAAAACAGGAAAAATGCAAAAATAAGTAAATTATAATAATATTTAAAGTTAATTTCATTTTTGTACTAAATTTATAGGTCACAGACTCACAGTTCATTTTTAATTTTTTTTTTATTTTTTTATTTTTTTTTTATTTTTAAATTTTGATCCTTTACCAACAAAATAGTTTAAATATTATTAAATATAATGATATTTTGGTCTTCAATTATAGATTTTTACAAAAAAAAACATAAAAATATAGCAGGGTTAGTCCACTTTGTATAAAAAAGATCAAAATACATTTCTATTTAACAACATTTTAAAAATTTTGTTAATAACAGACCAAAAATAATCATGTTACAATAATACTATTACCAAAAAATATTTCAGATAAAAAAGGACTATAAATAGATTGCCACTTATAAATTTAGGATCAAAATGAAATTAAGTATAATATTTATTAAGTAATTTAAATTATATTATATTTTAACTCACCTGATTTGAATTCGGAATGACCGAGTCAACAATGCTTCCAAAGTTCCAGCTACGAGTCTTCTTAATCAACGGCTCATCTTTACTTTGACTCATACGCCGTCGTTTCCACGAGAACCACCCGCTGGCCTTCTTGTCTCGGTCGAGCTCAGCCCATGACGAGTTAGACCGTGTTACCAAACTTGTCCCCGGTTCATCCAACTCCATTTGTTTGTCACTCGTCCGGTTTATCAAGTCCGGCTCAATTCTTGTTAAGATCGGAGAATCTTTTATCTTTATCATGGTAAAATTGACCTGAAATAAAATGCGAAATTCTTAAAATATTTACACATACATTCAATATTTGACTATGCACAAAGTGTATATATTTTTTAAAAGATATGTTCTTTTGAAAAAAATAATATTTGGTTGTCAAATGCTATCTTTAATAATTTCAAGTTGACAACCGAAAATCAATTTTTTTTCCCATTCATTTTTTAATTATTGTCTATTATAAATGCTACCTTAATTATTACTAAATTCACATTTGCAACACATACATGGTGATTAGAGAATGATAAATATAAATATAAATAAATAAATATAAAATTTCATTCCTGATCGACATGATGACACAGTTGGATTGGTTAACTTATTTTTTCTACAGAAGTTGGTAAAATGAAGTAATTCATGTATTAAAGAAAAAGTGTGGTACGGAATTTTTATTTAAAAAATTATAGAAAGTTAGAAACTTACAAGAAGGGAGGCTTCTTTGAGACCTCCGGAGGCGGCGCGTAAAATGACGGGGATTTCCCATTGAATATCAGACTCCATTGTCGCCGCAACTTTCGACACATCGACCGAACCTTTTCCGACCGCCACCAATTTGGCCTCGGACTTTCCCTATTTTAATCACGCAAATTAAAACAACATAAATCCCCCAAACAAATTAATAAAACAGAGAGGAATTAATCCATAAAATTATGAAAACCTACGAATAAGACGTGGAAGGAGATGCGCCAAGGTCCGAATTGACGGCGGCGGCCATCGCCGGAAACCTCCGTGAAGCAACACGTGTTCTCGAACTCATCATCGTCCCATGTCACACTGCCTTGCCCTCCCTCCAACATTTTCACTCGCGACAAATCTTCGCGACAACGTTGTTTCGACACGAGGTGATGGAGCCCGAACTTACGCGCCTCGCCTTTCCACTTAACCTTGAGGGCTAAGACTCTCGCATGCGTTTTCCATTCAAAAATATTCTCGATACCTTCGAGTCTGAACCAAGTCAGCTTCACTTGAAACTTCCTCGTGACGGGCTGCGGCGAAACCGGCGGCCACGGCGACCATTTGGCCATCTTCACCACCATGAATTGATCGAGGTTTATGTTCCTTTTTGGTACGTTGATAAAGGGAATATAATGAAATTGATTCCTTAGTAAGCAATATAATGTAGAGAGAAGATAAATACTAGGAGGAGGCTTTCAAATGTTAGTTTCCCCGAAACAGCTAAGGGACGAACCTTGACAACTAAGTTTTGTTCGATGACAATATTCCTACGTGGGAGGAGGAGGAGGAGGAGGAGGGGGGGCCAATAAAAAAGGAGACATGTTGTTTGGGGGAGCACGTGGCAGATTGCAATTGGAGGTGTTTGACGGTTGTGTGGGGAGCTCTGTAGGGGATTGGTTCGAGAAGGGGGAGAAGAGTCATTCAACAAATCAGAGAGGTACACGTAAACACGGAGGCAAAGAATTTCAACACGTGAGGGACGCGTACAGTAGTCGCAACCGCATGCGCAATATAGATACGGTTCGCGGGAGAGACCGCCCACCGGGCTTGCGTAACGCAAAGTTGAGAAATTCTGCGCAAAAGAAAAAATAAAATGTATATATAATAACAATAAAAATTAATCCGAAATATAGAATCCTTCTTATAATTTGACCCACCCTCCTCCCGCCTTCATCTCGAGTGGAGACAAGGAGATGGTCTTCGTCTCTGGCCGGAGACAAAACGGGAAGAGGGTTGTGTTTTCTTTTCTTTTTTTAAATTTTATTTAAATTATTAAAATAAATTTAAAAATTAATTTTTTAAATGGATAATTGTCATATTTTCAAGAATCGAAAGAATAATTTATTTTCAGTTTAATTGTTAGATTTTGGATTGTTCAATGACCTAATTGTAATTTTTTATTTTTTTTTGGGAGTTTGATGACCAAATAATAATTTTGCATGTAGTTTTGATGACCTTTTGACCCTTATTCCTTATTATTTATACACTTTGTAGTTTTAATAGGGGTCAACTCAAAATCAAACGCCTTGGACTTCTCTTAACAAAATATCTATAAGAAACACGATTCTAGAGAAATAGGTTGAACGAGATTTATAATGTATTTTCTAGTTATTGGCTTATCATCCAACTTGCCAACTTGGGTGTTTTATACACCCTCAAGTAATAAAAAAAAAAAAAAAGAAAAGGAATAAGGGTCAAATAGGCCAACTGCACACAATAATGCAATTAGGCCACTGAACCTAATAAATTACAATTAAATTCCTAAACTAACCATTTTTATGCAATTAGTCTAATTTGTAAGTTTTCTAGGTTGCTAGCAGATCACCTTTAATTTAAAATATTTTTTAAAAGTAATTATTTTTTAAATTTTTGTTTTTTTTTTAAAAGATCATCTCTGACCATGGATTCGTCTCCATGGCCAGAAACGTCTTCGTCTCTGGCCAGCCGGAGACGAAGAGCTATATTTTAAATTAAAGGTGACCTGCTAGCAACCTAGAAAACTTACAAATTAGACTAATTGCATGAAAATGGTTAGTTTAGGGATCTAATTGTAGTTTTTTAAGTTCAGTGGCCTAGTTGCATTATTGTGTGCAGTTTTATGGCCCATTTGATCATTATTCCTAAAAAAAAATATAAACTAGTGTGTTTAACCCATGCGGTACATGAAATAAATTATATTATCATGATTTAAATAAAAATTTAAAAACGAAAAGATATTAAAATATACAATATAATAATATAGTTAGATTTTCATATATTTGGTAGGGTATGTATGTTCATAACATAAAACATTAAAATTAAAATTTTGTATGATTAATATAGTGTTAAATAATATACATATTTATATACACTTATAAATGAAATTTACATAATTAAATTGATTATTCCTAATTGTATTTCATATGTATTATATTTCCAATAAAATGATTTGTGTAACAAGTTGGACATTATTAAAATATATGCTCCAACTTGATGGGGAGTGTTATGGAATATATATTTGATATATAGAATCTCTATATATTAGGTAGTTTTAGGGATTTAGGTAGGTAGGACATATGCAAACATGTTTCCTATTCGTAGTCTTCTAGCACCTATTTATAGGGCTTTGTATTTTCTTTTCTAGAAGACAGTTTGAGACAATATACGACAACACATTAGAAACTCTCTCTCTTTCCTTTCGTACTTTCATAACAGTTATGAAATCAGAAGCAGGAGAAGAAGCATCATTATTATTATTGTTTGGTCCATGCCAGTTTGTGATAAAATCATAAATGGTCAGAGGAGGACCCTCAGTGATGGGGGGTTCTCTAATAATAGAGACATCTAACACAAAGAATTCTCCACGCAAATATCCCTTCCCAAGATATCCACCACCCCCCCAGCAAGTCATGACAAGACGATTAGACTCAAACTTAATTCCAGTCTTGTTCAACAAGGCTGTGGAGATTATGTTTCTACGGAGGGAAGGGACATATAGCACATTTTTCAATAGTAATTTTTTCCCAGAATATAACATGAGTTCTACTTTCCATTTACCTCTTACCTCGAGAACACTGGAATTTTCCATGAATACTTGTTCTCCTTCAATAATTGGCTTGAACCATTTGAATAAATCTTTGTTGGTGCAGAAGTGGCGGGATGCTCTGGTGTCCTCAACCCATTCTTCTGCATCTCCAACTATGTTGACTTCAGTTATTACAGTTGTAATTACCTCAGCATTCTCTGCGTTCCCTAGTAAATTGGCTTGGTTCTTAGGCCCTTCATTGCTTGACTTTTGTGGGTTCTAAGTGAATATTCCTTTGAGGTAATAGCACTGGGCTGCACCGTGTTCTTGTTTCCTGCAGACAAAACAACCACCACCTTTCTCCTTTTTCTGGATCTTGTCGTTCTTAAAATGATTGTTGCTTTTGTTGTTTTGAAACTTCTCTTGTAGTATTTATTTTGATCACCGGTTTTTGACCTGTCAGAATTGGCAGTTGTTTCGACAATATTACCTTTTTTATTACTAGACTAGAAAGTGCAACTAACATGCGCATTAAGCGATCTCCTCTTCTATGTCTAGGCTATTCACCAGCTGCTACAATGTGTAGTCTTGCCTTTCATGCTTCATCTTGTTCTGAAAATCTACCCAGGACTCGGGCATTTTTTCTGTGACACCCCAAAATCCAAATTCGATTAAGGGATTAATTAAGTAGTTAAGCCTATTTCAATTTGTAATTTAATTCCTTAAAATTCTTGAAATTCAATAGTTGGGGACTAGTAATTGACTAGTCAACCCCGTAGCCAAAGTTGTACCTTGAGCTTTGTAAGGAGTTCCCTTGTTCCTTACACCTTTCCATGATAGTAAGGGTATTCTTGACCTTTCACCTTGTGTTAGTATTGTAACCTAACCTAGTAAGAACACCTCATTTCTCTCCTTACACTTTCCAAAATTCTAGCTCCACCTTCTCTCTAAAAAGGTGGATAGCTTTTCTTCCAAGCCAAGTTGAAGATTTGCCAAAACTTCAAGAGTTGTCTTCAAGATTCTACCTTTCATACATTTGGGCATCTAGGAGGGTAAGATTCATGTTCATCTTGTGTTTTTAGTGTTTTCTTAGGTGTCTTTTCTTAAAGATAGAATCTTTATGATCTTTTGGTGTGTTTATGAAGTGGGTTTGGAAGGTGAGCTTTGATAGGAGCTTGGTGAGGTGTTAAGTGAAGGTTTTTGTTTACAAGAGGTAACCCATGCTCTACAAAATCTATTTTGCTTACCTATGTGAATATTTCTTGGATTCTACATGTGTTTTGCTATGAAATGTGAGTGTTTATGCATTGTCTTGTGAAAATGCATATCTAGAGCTTGTGTTTAGGGTTCTTGTATGCGATTGCTTGGCTATTCCTTTGATTCAAGTCACTTTGTTGTATTTGGTGAGATTTGGCATGTTTTGGACTTGAATTTGAGTTTGGAGATGAAAATCCCCGAAGGGATTTATTTTGGTACAGGGTGTACCTGCGGGCAGAACGGCGGGCAGGGGGTCTACCCGCCGCCTACCCGTGGGGGACAAGGGCCTTGAGGGTTATGTACCCGCGGGCGGAACCACGGGTAGGAGCCTACCTGTGGGTCCACCCGCGGAGAATGCTGTATGGATGTTGGGGGATTTGTTCCCCGTGATTCTTTTGACTCAGTATTTGGTCTTTTGACTTCCCGATGTTCTTTTGTAGAACTATTTGAGTGTCTTCTTGATGTTTCGTATGTCTAGAACTATATGGTAGGAATCCATGTAGGTTTTGGTGTCGTGAATCGTGCTAAGTTTTCAACATTGTGTTTCGTTGAACCGTGATGAGTCTTGTGTGTTCTTCAGAATACGTTTGGTTTACCCGTTTGATAAGCATGCTAGTTTGGTGTTTAAATGCTAGCGTGTGTGTTGTTCGTACCTTCTTAATGGTTGATGATAACTTGTGTTATTCATCGTTGTTGTTGTTGGACTGTGATCCATTCCTTGATTGAGTATGGTTTCATATCTTCGTTGTGATCCGTTGATTGATTCCTGTTCTGGTGTGATGCGTGTGTGGCTTTACCTGGATTGCATAATTAGTGGTATGAGAAACTAGTCACCACGGTATTGCAATGGTCCTCGTGGTGGCCATGACGTGATTATGGAGTTGTGACCTTTGTGTAAGGTTCACGTATTTCTTGGGTGGCATGTATTGCCGTGTGTGTGATCGGTACCCTCGTGTACTATGAAATCGGTGGTTCTATCGGAGAGGGGACGACGGTCCTCGGAGGGAAAAGGTTGGACTTGGTGTACAGGGGTCCTGGAGGTAAAGGTTGGAACTAGGCATAAGGTTGGGGGTAGCCATAAGGTTGGAACTGGGTATAAGGAAGGCATATCAACTCGTGATGGGTGATGTCACGAGGGCTTGTGTAGCCGTTATTGTGAGTTCTCTTCTTGTGACGTGTGTAGTCACAAAGGCATGTGTTGCCGTTTGTTGTGTCTTATTCCTTTGAGTCATGTATGTCGGGTATTAATCTATTGTGTGATGATAGATTGTACCTTGAGACTTCTTGTGAGTCGTTTTTGTTCTTTGTAGTCTTGGGGTGTGTTCCCATATTCTTGATTGAGAGTGTTGAGTCTTGTGTTGACTATTAGTCTTGGTTTTTGACTTATATATATATATATATATATA